AATTATTTATAGTGAGAAAGGATGATGATTCAATCATAATTTACAAAAGATATAGAATTACAATCACACTTAAAATTCTTCGAATTTCAAACAGAAGGAATAAGAGTATGTTTATGGCAGTTTTGATTGATACAATAGAAAATATTACAGGAAAAGAATAAAATAACAATATAATCGAGTATAGTGGAACTTATTGCATGCAAAGCAAGTAACTAAGTTAACTGAAAACACAAACCACTTCATGAAATTGGTTTGCGTCTTTAACGCCACTTTTAAAATTTTAAGTAAAAATGTTTGTGTCATTTAGAGTTTTACTTGTCAGAATAACCCTCAATATTTACTGTAAAGTAAAAATTCCAGAAATGTTTTGGAATATTGAGTGGAATGTCGGAAAATCTATTGGAAGAAATGTACACAAATACAAACCATATTTTAGCGGAACTATTTCATGTTTGTTAACTGTTTATTATTTGAACTTTTACCTGTTTCGTAATGTTTACCCCTAGCTTCGTTAAGATAGAAAAAAAATCATAGTTGTTGTTAATATTGCAAAAAAATAATAAAAATCACTTATGAAAGTTACTAATATTGGGGCCCATTTTACGACAATCCGTTTCTTCATCCTTCGTTTCAAATTAATTCTTTGTTTATTTTTTCCTATGTAATCATTTCATTTCTTTGTTTTTTATTTTTCATTAAACAAATTGAAAGAAAAGCCTTGCCAAAATAAAACCTCATTTTTCATAATTCTGATTTAGATCAGAAAAAACTTATTATAAAAGAAAATAATCACAAGCATCCCATATATTTTATACTATTGAAAAAAAAAGCCCCACTACAAAAGCTCTTCTCATTTTATTTGCAACCCATCTTATGTTATAAAAAAAAACAAAAATGATTGTAAATTCATCAAAATAAACATGTGCTCTGAATAGTAGTGGTGGAGTCAAAATAAACAAAAAACATACATAAAAGTTACAAGGAGAATAAACATAACTTTTCTATTAACTTTAGACAACAGCAGAAAAATAGAAATAAAAGAGTTATTTAGGTAAAAAAAATATAAATAGGAACACAAAAACAGTAAATAAAAGTAAGTGGCTTACAGTTTATTCACCATCATGATAAGTTAAGCATCTACTTACTCCAACTCATTCAAGATTATTAGAAATAAAATATGTAGATTTGAATAGAATGAAAAAATTTTACAACAATCTTACCGCTTATTGTAAATTTATTCCTGCACAATTTTTTTAATGGTTGGTTTCAGAACGAAATAAAAAATTTCATTCAAAAGCGGATCCTAACTAGCAAATTCTTAGCGTAAGTAAGAAACGAACTGAGTTGCTAAAAAGTGAAAACACATAACTAACTGCACAGAAAGTCACTGTGATATTTTAAACATTTCGGTATTTAAATATAAAGAAAAACAGAAAAATTTTACAATTTCGAATAGTTTAATCCTGCACCCTATTTTTACATATTTCGCCGCGACATCGCAAACTACACTTTGTTATTTTTTCCAAAATCGCAATCGGGCCACATTATCAATATAGAATGTAAAGATATGTATGAAAAAGATATTTCAAGTACCATCTATAGAGTAACTAAGACATTGGATCATTGGAGCACAAACAAATAGTGATATGTGCATTCCTAGATATCAAGGGTATCTTCGACAACATCTCGGCCGTTACAATTTGGCGGATCTTGCGAGACACGGACGTGGGTAATATTACTCTTTATAGATGCCATGACAAAAGCTTAGGCCATCATGGTATGCATCCATAGGGCCATCACGGTATGCAAGACTGCCACGGGAAAGTTTTGGGAATGTAGCCTTTTTTTCAAGAGGTGGATATATGCCATGATGCTGTTGCCGCTTCTTATATACGGGGCCGCGGCGTGGAGAGAAACGAATGTGTTCGTACAAACAGGTTTCTTGAATTTATTAATACATAATAACTCATCCTACAAAACTATAACCGATTCTTTCCTCGAATACCGCAAACATTTTTCCACAACCAATCTATACCGATTAGATTTTTTAAAAATAGAACAAAAAAAAGGATTCATCTGTTTTTTATTACTGATTTGCTTATGTCTGTTATTCCAAACATATTTTCATATATACATATACATTTTTTCCTATTCTAAGGGTTATAAAAAGAAAATATAGCATTTAAAAGTTGTTTGCACTCTAAATGTACTCGTTCTCCTTTAATTCTCTGGGTTTATTCATTTATCCATAGAAAAATATTCCATGTATAAATATATTTAAATAAGAAAAGCAAAAAAAACAGTGTTTTATCCTTGTACACATATCCTTTCTATATTACATTTAAGAAAAAGATGACATGCATTTTTATTAATAGTTATATGAGAAACTTCAAGAAGGGATAAGTATAAATTGCATCAGTTACGAAACAAGCAAAAGAAACTTCAGATAAGATGACAGAAAAGTTTTCAACTTTTTTTTCTCGGATTCTATATTATGTTGATAAGAAGAAGTCAAGGATTCGAAAAAATAAAATTAATAGTTCCATTTTATATTATTAAATATAAAATTAATTTTCGTAATTTAATGAGTTTTAAAAGAGTTTAATAAGTTCAGTTTGAGTTTTCAGAAAAAAAGACGATTTTTCTTTATCTTCAAATCAGATTTTTACTACGCCAATAGTGTTTCTTGGCCTCAATTTATGAATTGAATAGTAAGGTTGATTATCATAAAAAATTTTGAAAAAGTTAAAAAAAATTTAGTAGTTTTGAAAAATTTAGTTGAAGTAAAATGAAAATCAAAAAACAGGAAAAGAAACAATTTGTTCCGCTCTAATTTCAACACAATCGAAAAAATTTTAATGATCATTTGGGAATGGCACCAATCAAGCCTAAATATTACGCGAATACCAACGAAAATCGAAAGAGTTCTCAATAACCAGATTTCTTGAGCGAAAGTTTGACTCAATTTATATGACCTTCAAATTGGATTAGTTTTGTAACACCGGATGCGAACAGAAAGTCTGCGATATATAAAAGATAGTTCGATAGACTGTAAAACTTGATTTATCTTCGATGAAGAACAGGAAATTTTTAAGTTAAAATGGAAAAATATTTAGTAGACATCCTTATTCGAACCCAGTTCTTAAATTCGTTAAAGGATTTTTGTTCTATTCACCGAGTGATATTGTAACAAGGTTTGCTCGTTAGTTCGACTCACCGGTCTAGCTTAAAAATTCAAAACTGAATTTTCTTCTTATTTGCCACAAAACGTCAAACATTTTTCGTTGAAAAATATTGTTTTAATTTCTTCTTACCACAGCATTGTGTTTGGAAAATTTTTTAAATTTCTCATGCAAATAAATTTTACCAAAAATTCACTCACTGTTGTGGTTTGCATTCCCAAATGCAATTTTCTTACGAATTAAATATATTCTTTTTTAGAGTTTCTATAATAATCAACAACAAATTTTACTGTTATCCTTGAGTCCTTCAAATAATGTAAACCAGCATGGTTTCATCTTTTTATATATTACGTGGGTGATAGACTTTCTCTATTTGGAAGAAATTGTGTTAAATCTTAAGCAAAAAATATCTTATGAATTACTTATGCATAAGAACACTAGGTACTTGAGATGAATCGAAAATTATTTTGGTCTAAAAATATATTTATTTAGAAAAAGGATTCAATTCAAATTAATTTATTTTTAGTTTATACAAATTTTGAAGATGCCATGAAATATTTATGTGAATTTGTTTTTTGAATGTGTACACAAATGTTTGTTTTTGCTTGATTTATGCAAGTGTTTTTTTTGTGAAATATAAGAATTTGAATTTCAAATTTCAATTCATAAAATCCAGTGCCATACTTTAGAGTCAAAAGAAATTATAAAGAAATTAAATTGAAGAAAAATTATCCGGGTCCAATAGGCGAATCATTTATTTTTCCGACATTAACAAAGAGAACCGCTACTAAATAACTTCCTTAAGATATATCCTTTTAATAAATAATAGTGCCTCTTTAATACCTCAAGTAGCTTTTCTGCCTCAAGAATTTAGGGCTACAAGTTCCCTTTTCTTCCATTACTATAAAAATATTTTTCGCTTTCCTCTAGATAAAATGTAATCTGTGATTTTTGAACCATGACTTCAAATTTGACATGAAAGAGACAAGGTTACAACGACTTCTCTATTCTTACTCCTGTTCCTAGAAAACACAATGCTAATATATTCAAAACGTAACATTGTTTTTTATACACTGTATTTTTTAGAATACAAAACAAGCAATAATTGAAATTTTTGTAATGTTCTCGGTATTGGAGCATATTTACGGAACAACTTCATTTCGTTTATTCCAATTAATTAGAACAGCAAAACCATTTTGAATAAAGAAAATCCTCTTAAGAAAGATTATTTTTCTCCATGTACAAATGTATGTAGTATTACACCAAAATTGACCGCAGTGCACAGAACAATGTTAAAATATCCATAAAATTCACAACTAAAAAACAAATTTCACCTCATATAATAACGATATTACGAAAATTAATCGAAAATAAAAACTAAATTCGTTTCCAAATTCAAACGAAAACAATTCAACTAAAATTCAGTCAAAAATGGTAATATCGGATTTCAAATTCAAAAGCAAAAAACCTTATAAATTTTAATGGGTAAAATCCAAATCGTTTAGTTTACTCGCTTCAAAGAAATTCCATTTTAAAAATCTATTTGAAAACATCGACAATTCGAATCGAATAATTCTTTTTCTTTTTCTACTTTTAAAAAAGATAAAGTTCCCAGAATTTACACAGACGTTTTCAAGGAGCGGTACTTGAATTTCATTTTTTTTAACACAAAAAATAAAAAAATAAAAAATCAAAAAAATACATGCAAAAAAAAGTTGTTACAATGGAAAACAAAAAATCTTTAATTTTCGTTCAATGAACTTTGATTACCAATTTCATATAATATATTCTTAATGGTCCATTGCTATTACAACTTACCATTCATAAGCGTCGTCTTCAGCCTTATCCTTTTGAAAATCATCAATTTTCTCATAGTACTCAGCTGACACACCAAACATTCGATTCTGATTTAAATCTCGTAAATCATTAGCACTATTCGTGAAATTATTTTTATTTATTTTATTACAACTATCATTTTTATCACCATTATTACCATCATTAATATTTTTATGTAAATTTTTACTATCATTATTATCACCATTATTTTTATTTTCATGATTATTATATTTGATAGGACTATTTCTATTGCTATTATTACATTCACTATTACTACTATTGTTGCCACTATTATTACTATAACTAGTATTACTATCCGTATTACAAGTATTATTACGATTAGTTACAGCAATAATGATATCCTTTTCATCATCATTATTAAATATTGGATTATTATCCTTAGTCATAATATTATTTGTTGGCATCATTATAGGAAAAAACTGATTAGAATTTCTTTTATCGTTATTTTTTATAAATTTATTTTGCCCATTACAATCACTATAATTGTTATTATTATTAAATAGATTTGTGTCACGATAATTATTGTTATGATAATTATTATTAATATTTTGATTTAAATATTTCTCCGATTGAGATTTTTTATTTTCACACTTGAATTTATTATGAAAATCACTGTGTTGCTGCTGTTGATGATGATGATAATGATGATATTGATTATTATCATCTAAATTATGAGCACCAATATAATTTTGAAATTGACTATTACTATTATTATTGTAACTGTTATAATTTATAAATTCTATTTGATTACAATTTAATAAATTTTTCCGTGCTTGTTTATTATCAATATTATAACGTCCGTTTCCTTCCTTAAGTGAAACGATACTGGCTATACCAACAGATGTTCCAGATGCTGTTATTATTGATGATGTTGATAATGGTAATGAAGATGATGATAATGATGGTTTTACCTTATTTACAATAGGATTATTTACAATATTCACAATTGATGAACATGGTGATGTTTTTGATACTGTTGTTTTTGCTGTTGATGATGGTGTTGATATTGATGATGACGTTATTGTTGCTGTTTTTGTTGATGTTGTTGCTGTTGTTGATGTTGATACAACAAATGAATTTCTATCATTTAATATATTAAATGTTGAATTTGCTGTTACTGTTGTTGCTACGTTATTTGCACTCCGGCTACGACTGAACATACGATTGATGCGAGATACTTCATCAGACTGATGCAGATTTTGTTGTAGCATCCCGGAGGAAAGACGTTTTTCATGCAGACGGAAGTTTCTTGCCCTTTTTTTGTTATTTTTATTTTGATTTTTTTTTTTCATTTTGTTTTATTTGTGTTGTAATAATGTTGTGTAGTACGGATAAAGGTATACATAGAAAAAAAAGCAAATAAAAATTAAAAAGAAAAAATATAGAAAGCATAAAAATTTTTTTTTACGTTTTCACGTTTTTTTTATGAGAATTTTTTTTTGTTTTGTGAAATTTATAAAAAATTCATCTATTCAAATGAAAGGGAATGAAAAACATAAAAAGAAAGAAAAAGAATGAAAACTGAAACCAAAAAAATTTTACCGTCTCCATTGAATACTCCAGAATAAACTAACGTGCACATGTGTTCTCTGACATTCAAATTCAATTGGAGTCAGGAGTTTAGCGCTTGAAAGTTTTCCAGATATTTAGAATCTGTCTTAAATATGGTTATGTGGATTCAAAGCAAACAGTTCGCCGTACTTAAATAATCACTAAATTAGAGTAGGAACAGCTGAAAAATTTGGATGTATTGTGAGACCCTGAATAAATTTATTGGGGTAAATAAATTACGAAGTTATCAATGTTCAACAATAATTGTTTCAAAAGGGGATTTGTGGAAACGTACCACTTTGCTAAGGAAATTATTCAACAAGTTCGAAACTGGCTCAAAAAGAAATCGATAGGTCACTGAATGCAATCTTGATTAATATTTTGGAAGCATTTTTCCTGTATCAGCTTCTTTATTGTTAAATGACATAATAAACTGAATCAATTTGACATTGCCAACTATATCAAATCATATGCGACTAGCGCTAAATACAAAAACAAGAAATAAACTGTTTCTATATAAAAAACGCAATACAACTTTCCTATATAAAAAACGCCTCTCGAAGGAATTCAATAAATGTATGAACAAATTTCTTACACAGACCTCCAAAACAAATGGGATCTTAATTCCTTGCATCACATTTATGAATGCATTTTTACTATATACACACATAGAACATGGAGCAAAAATGAAATAGAGTCGGAAAAGTGCCGTAAGCGTGTAATAATCGTTGTGTTGTATATAAAAAATCAAAATAATGAGAAAAAAAAATTATTTGAGTCGCTTTTTGTAAAATATAGAAGTTGCATAGACAAGTATGTACCCATTTACAACTATGTAAATGAATGTACATAGACACATTATGAGAAACAAATGCAGAAACATCGAAGCTATAGAAATATTATGAAAGTTTTACATTATTTTCTCTTTTCTTTTAGATTTGTCGGAATGAGTAAGAAGGAATTTCAATAATAATTGCTCCCTAATAGTGTTTGCAGCACATGTATAGCTCCTATCAATTCTATAGTAATGTGTAATGACTTACAATAGAAACCAAAATAAAAATAGAAAGAAAAAAAAGTTAATTTACTCCCGGTTTTTGTTTTTTATTATTCTTTTTTCATTCTGGACTTGACTAAACCTTGAAACGTAATTGACAAAAACAAAAGAGAAAACAAAAGTTCATATTTGTTAAAATACCGTTAAAATATTTGATAATCACATAAGATAAAATTAAAAAACCAGGTGTCATCATGAAAATTTTCCATGAAAAATTTATGGAAAATGCATTTTTTTTCTACTTTTCATTTTATTTTTAGACTGAGATTGTTGAAATGGAATGTCACATAAATTGTTACATAATTGGTTTGCTCATTTTTTCTTCGATTATTCAATATTAGGGGAAATAAATTAAATTTCTGTAAATGCGAGCCCATTAATATTTATTTGAAAAGTGATAAGAAGAGACTAAAAGTGAAGCAATTAATAATTCACTGAAATATTTATGTATGTACACAGTTGTATTATGAAAACGTGTACATGACAATATTTTACATTCATATTATACAGATCCATTCAAGATAATGCCAAAATAAAGAATATGATAACATTATAAGAAAAATTGAAGACATTTACGGAATTGAAACCATTATTCTTATATGGTATACATCATTTAATCTCTGAGCTGTATAAGTGATATTGCAGATAGCGCTTAACATAACACAGAGAATGTTATGGCTACATTGAGCTAATTTTAAGAAAGCAGCTGTCTTGGTAATAAGAAAAGTAATTCAACTGGTTGAAATTTAAATTTAACAGTAGAGAAGAAGAACTGGAGAATACAAGTATATAAACGACGAATAATCTTGGAGCAGTAATTCCAACAGCAAGATTGTTATCGGACCTCGATATTTGAGTCGAATAATAAGATTAGTTTAAGCACCATTTCGTTGATTATTGAAATTTTCACGCCCACCTAAACAAGGTTGGGAGAAATTTGAATTAAGGCGCTGTAGATGGACATTATTCTTAATAATTTCTTTGGGTGCAATATAAAAGAATCACAATACAGGAGAACATCGTTAGAATAATATTAAAGAACATAGCTGTAATAACTAATTCGTTCTAAAAAATTCTGAGTTGAACTCACCACGGTTTATTGGAAAATTGTGAATTATATTTGTGGTAGATTCTACTGTGAAGACTATACATGTTGAGATAAGATAGATATAGTCTTCACAGTAGATGTAAGTAAATATTTGCATTAATTTTTCGAACAAATATTTTAAATGCACTAAAAATTATGCACATATTAAAACACTTATTATCTACAAACTTAAAACCCTGCAAATTATAAGAGTTGTTAAATTACTTCATTGAGTTAAGAATACATACTTTAAAGTCATTATTTTTGTACACACTGGCAAACACATATTTTTATACGGACATACATGTGTGTGTGTACGTATATTAATTGTGAATAGATTAGAAAAGTGACTCCTTAACAACATTATTAGTAAATCACTAAACCGGTTATTATTGCAATTCAACATTCACTCTCTTTCTCTTCCCACGATCTAAAAATCAAAGAATCTCTGTTTTCCTTCTTTTCGCATACAATTTTTTAAACCAAGATTTCATATGTGATTGTGAAATTTAAATAAATCATGACATCTCACTTCATTCAATATGGTTTTGTATACATTTAACGCGTAATAAAAATTCATTCAATGGATGTAACAGAAAACTTGATGTCTTGATATAAAATCATAAAATAATAATGAATCAAGTTTAGAGATTCTTTTTTACAAATCCTTGTACAAATCAAGTCAATTACATACAGAAAAAATGCATTACATGCATAAATTTTGTGTGCGCACACATATACAAACGTTCAGTTGAATACGACGTTCATTAAGAAAAAATCACAAATAAAACACAAAAATTGAATTTTACACACAAAAACCATGATGTCAAATTTAAGTGCGCTCTAAATCAACAACAACACAAAAATAACAAAAGTAAATTCATAATTCACTGCTTTTTTTATATTTTACTTAACTCATCATCACAATCATTACAAACATTTATCAATATCAATTTAAAAGAAAAAAAAACAATCGTTGTTGTTGTGGCATCTTCTCTTAGGTGCATTCATTGTCATCATCAAACTCACCCATCTTATTTAACAAACCAAAAAAAAATTCTCATCAACATTTTTCTCTTTTTTTTTTCTTATATTTGCTATGAGCACACTAAAAAACCAGATTTTAATGGCAATGTGGAATACTACATGCACTAGAGTGCATATAAGAAATGTATGAGTATATAAAGACAATAAAGAGTGGAAAAGGAGTGGAAAATGCATCTAAAAAACACCTCATTAATACACCACCGACCGACCGATTCGAATGTAAAATGCAATAAAGAAATTCTGTACGATAGCAACAATTTTATTATTGTTGTAAATCTTTATATTTTCAAGTTATGTATAACATCTTGGATGATATTGATTGAAGGAATGATTTAAAAAGTGAATGTTTTGCTACCGGCTTCGTATCTAATAAATGAAATTTTTAGTTGAATTGAATTAAAAAATAAAAACATCTTTCAACTTATCTTTTTATTCAATTAATAGCTCTTCAGTTTTAAAAAATAGGAGTATGCAAATACTGTGGTACTACCAAAATTTTCAACATTTTCGCCTTGGGGCATTCATATGCATAAAGCTATTAAGTTGAAAGAAAGTTTTTAGATTTTCATTTGAAGAAAAGGAAGCAATGACCGAAAAGATTAAATTGAAAATTAAATTGTTTGATAATTCTAAATCGAATATGTGTGCGGGAAAAGATTGACTCAACAAGCCTCAATGACCTCAAAATATTATACAACAAATGGAAAACTAAACACTTTTTAAACCTAAAAGGGCAAAAGGAGATTTAAGAAGGCTCTTACCATTATAGTATTAAATTTTGAATAGGATTAATTATCTCTGATTCTACGTAAATTAAATCTAGTTAGAAGCATTGGTGTTACAAAAAAAAAAAACAAAAAATGATCTTCCACGCACTTAAAGTTCTTGCAGCTTAAGGAAAACTGCTTAGTATTATAAAACTTCTTAAATTAATTTGATATTTTCCAAATTTTGATTGTAGAATAACTTCTTACCATTTTTTTCTTCAAATAACTTTTTAAACAAAACTGAATAAATTTATTCATATAGGGTTCTACAAGAAAGTGAAGGCGTGAAAATTTGAAAATAACTTGAAAACATTTTGTTTGGTTTGTTTTTTTTTTTGTGTCAAAAGAAGAGTGGGTGCATCAAGAGTGCAATGACATACTCAATGGCTCCATTCTATATACTAATAAATAAATAAAAATTCTTATAAAATAAAAAAAAGGATATAAAAACAACAATCCTTCTAATTTAACTGTATATTTTATGTAAATTTTAAAATTTATTGGAATATAAATTATGCTAACAATAACATTATCATATTTTATTTCAAGGATTCATATGCCACATGTACACATGGTGGAGGGATAATAAGTACATTGTGTACAGACATGAGAACATTAAGATGTACAAGAATGAACTGTTTACACGCGAGCATAGAGAATGAAATCCTTATAATGATAACATTAATAAAAAAAGAAAACTTATTTCTTCATTTGAAATTGAAAACTTCTTTTCCCACATACTGAATCATTTATCTTCTGTTTTCTAATCGTACGCCACCCAACTTGGCGCTTTCTAGGCGAATCCCACCGAAGTGGACTGCAAAGGCTCACAAAATTTACTAAAAATTTGTTTATTATACGGTTAATTACAAGATAATTATGTCAAAATGAAAGCGCACTAAACCTTAATTTTCTAAAAAAAATTTAAAATTTCTCACTTATCACATTTATAGCCAACTAAAACTCAACACAAAATATAAGCATGACACTTTTTAATTCTAGACACTAGTGATTCACTAAATAATTTCATTTTTAACGAACCCTTGACTAAAAAAACATTTTCTTCAATTCATTTCCGCACCAACAACAACAACACAGGCAAATTTTAAATCTGATCTTCATCTAAATGCTTCCGGAGTATTTTTTTTTTATTTTTGTTGTCATTTAAAAAAAAAGTTTTGTATTTGTCAGTTGTTATGAAAATTATATGGTCATTGCCATAACGAACACAAAGGACAGAAAATTTAAAATTTTATTGTGACATTCTTATTTAATTTTATAATGATGACATTTGAATTGTAATAAAAAAAATGTTTATTTGCTTGTTATTTTTTGATTTGATTGTATTATACGAGTTGTTCAATTATTGCAGATATATTATAGGCTTTAGTATTGCCAGGTAATTTCAAAATTTTCCTATTTAATTTTTATAAATTTGTAAATGATGTGCAGTCACAAACTATAAAACTAAAACTGTGAATCGTATTAATTTCTCCTACACTCCCCTCTTCAGGCTAACAAATAACAATGATAAAACGACCTCAAAATTCGAAACGCAAACATTTTACGAAGATTTCAAATTCTCAACCTATAATTCTAAATGAATTCCGAGTAATCTTTTTCATCTAAAGAAAAAAGATTCTGATTTAAAAAAAAATATTTAGCTTTTTTATTTCAAGTTTAGCAAAAAAAGAATATTTTACTATGGCAACATCTTCAAAACTAAAAATTAAAATCTGAATGAAAAAACTATTTTTTTAATCATACCTTTCTTGCTTCTCACAATATGTTTCTAATTGGTCATGATGTTGGCGATTATTCCTATTACCATCGTTATTACCGCTACAATTACCATTATTGTGAGTACTACCATTTCGATGTCTGTCATTATTATGCCCAGCTTTTTTCATTTGAAATTCATTATTATTCACATTATTTGTTCCGGTGGATGGTATTCCATTACGTTGTAAAATTTTTGCTGTTGCATCAGCTATTGGTATATTCGGAGTTCGACTTAAATTAAAACGGCTAATTGAATCGCTACTATTGCAACTTTTTATTGGTTTTTTATTTGGTGGCGTTGTCCGTTGAATATTATCTAATGAAATGGAATTTTTAAATTTTTGCTGTTTATTATTATCACTGCTGCTAGCGGCACTACTATTATTATTATCCTTGTTATTGGTTGAACGTTGTTGTTGTAAGTTTAATGATAAACTTTCAACCAATGCATTTAACCATAGATTATAAGATTGACTATCATCACATCGCTAAAAATTATAATAAAATTTATAAAATTAATTTACGATCAACATTTGAAGAAAAAATATTATTATTGGAAAAAATTTGAACTGCCATTTCTTTGCATAAACTTAGGAGCAATATTACGGTGGTAGTTAGAAAAAAATTTATATACGTGTATTTTTGAAAGTAACTGTGACATTTATGTTAAGTTCACTGGAGCAGTATAAAAAAAATTGTGAACCGAAAATTATTGTCGTTATGCATACGCAAAAGAAGTAATAGCTCAGGAGGGGAAAAAGATCAAATGGTTGTTCTGGTGAAATAAAATATTTGGTAATATCTTTTAATTGTTAGAATTTATTATGAGATGCCATGTAGGTCGCTTACGTTTCCGTTTTCACAGAATTCTAACAAAATAACTTGCATTTATGCAACTTTTAAGAGCTACAACCTGAAATGGGTGAAGGGGTCGGAATAATTATTATGCTCACGAATAATGTATTTGCCTACAAATAAATTTAGAATTGTAAATCGCACTCTGGAATTGAATTTGCATTCTCTCTTTCTACTCTCAGCTCCAATAACACCTTTTTCTTACAAATTAAATAAAAAAAATACTTACAAAATTATACATAACATTTGTTGTTGTTTCAATTGCAAAACGGAAACTTCCCAAAGGATGAATTGTTGTTCCTGGTACCAAATTCAGAACATCTTTAAAACTCACCAATTTCTTGTCGTAATTCTCTTTTGAACTATACGACAGCAACAATTGATTCTGTAATACAAACCACATTTTACGCCAACCACCAACTTTCTGTTACATTGTAAAAAAAAAAAACAAAAAAAAATTAAAATTTTTTTATGTCGGAAAATAAAAACCATTTGACTGTAAATTTTTTATATAACCATTTTAAAAATAAAACAATAACAATAAGCATATGCGAGTGTTAAGATAAAAAAAACAAAAACAACAAAATTAATAAACATTTCAAAATATTAAAAAAAAAGAAAGATAAACTTACCGTTCTTTTCTTTTTCAAGTAACCGCTCATTTTCACTTTCGATGGCTGAATGTCTGAAATGGATTTAATCGTGTTGCTACCTGTAAATTTTTCATAACTGTTAATTTCTTTAACTTTTATTTTATTCGTTGACTCATTTTGATGACGTTGATATTGTTGCTGCTGCTGTTGTTGTTGTTTATGTTGATGATTATGATGTTGTTGTTGTTGTTGTTGACTTATTGATTGTTGTTTTAATTGATGTGCTGATTGTGATGTTTTTGTTTGTATTGTTTTCAATGGTAAATTATGTTCTTGTAATTGATGTTGATGATGATATTGATGATGATTTTTAATAATTACATCACTTGTAAGATTTTTATTTGAGATAAGTTTATGCATGATGAATATTCAAAATTATTTGCTTTTATTTTAAAATTTTATAATTCTAGACTGTTTCTACATGGAATATATATAGAGAGAGAGAGAGATTTGATGTGATGATAATGATGTGGTAATTACTTGAGTTTAGTGAATCAAGGTATACTTGAATTTTATTTCTTTAATTAAATATTATAAAAATTAATAATCACGTTCTGCAAAATTATATACGTATATGTTTATTAGGTTTCACGCACGTGCATACCTCTGCGTACTTTTGATATGAGTACCTACGTATAGAGTTAGTTAACGCCCAAAAATATGAATTTAGAGTTCTTAAATGGGTTCAAAGTAATGATCTCATGAAAGTGATTTAGTTGAATCATAATCCATTTTTCGAATCTGAAACAGAAAAAAAATTTATCTAAATTTTATTTTTAAGTGATTTTTTTTCTTCTCTTAAATAATTAAAAAGAAGATTAACAAAATTTTACGCAATAATAGTGTTGAGGCAGGTAACAAAATAGTTAAGACTTTAAAAACATGACTTGTTCGCAAGGAATTTCATAGGTGTACGATGAATTTCACAAACATTGTCTATTTTACGACTGTAAATACAAATTTGAAAATTAAATTTAAATTTGTAAAAGTCTCACACTTCCATTTAAGCTTGTAATAAAAAAATGAATGAAATTTTTTTCATTTCTTTACAAAAAAATGTCATTAAACTTTGTGATTAAAATAAAAATTAACGCGAGATTAACGATTTTACAAATTTAAGCAAAACTTAAAATTAAATTTAAAGCTATTTAAAGAAGAAAAATTTTTGTTTATTTAATGAGGTCATGAAACTTTTATCAATTTGCTAAGTAGACTTGCCTTGAATTAAAAAAACCTTAAAACGATTTTAATTTTTATTTTTAGTTTATTTAAATAAAATATTATGCGTACATGTATAGATGAATGTAAGACGTAAACTGTATGAATATAGATACACAGTTCAAAAATATAGTGCCCTTACATCAAAAGTATCTTAACAACAAAAACGCGATTTTTCAAATTTTAAGACTGCATTCTTCCTCAAATATTTTATTCGACTTTTATTTGTCAAACACAAATTATGTGTGTTTTGGCATTTTTAAAATTCAATTAAATTTGGATTTCACCTTATCCGTTGAATAAAAACCTATTTGTTCGCCACTTTTTCCGAAACTGTTTTTTTTTTTGATACATTTTTAGGCAAAGTTTAATAAGTTTAATAAGTTAAGATACCAAAGTCGTAGGGATAACCTTCAAAATTAAGGTCTAGAGTGCTTGAATTTTGTAAATAGAATAAAAAAAACGTCAAATGTTTTGTTTTCATTTCAAATTATTAAGAATTAATTTTTTTTCTGGAAAATGAGTTCTTTAACAATTACAATTAATATAATTGAATAATAAAAGAACTTAAAAATTATTAACAAAGTCTTAGGTTTTTAAGAAAAGAAAAAAATATCTAATAAAAGCAATTAAAATTTGTAGGTTTTGTAAAGATAATTCATTCACTTATTATGGAATTTATGTCTATACATACATACATATACATATACATTATGTACATAGTAAAAATCTATTTAAAATAAAATTGGGACTATTAAAGCTATTATTTTTGTTATTACAATAAAAATTTAATTTTTTTTATTGTCGTATTTTTTTTTTGTTACAAAAATGAAGATATTTTAAATCTTATCCAAGCTTTTTCTATATTATTTCAAAAAAAATGTTTTCCTTTCTATAGAAATCATTAAAATAGTTTTAAAAGAATATTTTAAATTTGGACATCAATTAAAAAAAACAAAAAGTTTTTAAAAATGAAGCTTTTATCATAAAATAAATAAAAAAAAATTTTGAAACAATTATTTTAAAAATAAAACACAATAAAACATTGAAAGAATTTATTAGATCATATCAAAAAAAAATTTTAACAGCACAAAATGTTAAACGCCAACTTAGTTCCTTTACTAATAAATTTTTTTTGGAATTAATTTTTAATAAAAAAATTTCTTCGTTTTCCCAATTGCTTTTCTAAGTTACTGATTATTATTAATTATTATTAACTGTTATTAATTATTGTAATAAAATAAATAAGAAATACAATTAAGGGTTACGCTTGGCCGCCGGAATCCGCAATATGATTTCCAGTAACATCACTGAACGGGGACACGTGGTATGAACAATTGATTTTGTTTCTTCTGTGCTTTCATTTGTGAAGAATTTCGGAGCTTTGATTCTGCAGAGGCACACCACCTTAGATGAAATTGATGTATTATACATGTCGTATACATGCAAGAAAATGTTGTCGGCGAATTCATTCTTTTTTACACGAATAGTTCCAAGCTTGATGGCAAGGTGGATGTTGTTTTTATTTTAAAAACGTGATATCTGCGGGCAGTGTTAGTACATTTATTGAGCTCATATTTAGCTTTAGTTAACTACAGGCAATAAATGTTACAGACCTTGGCCGGCTTCTGAGGAATTCGGACTGTTTCTAATGAAGGGAGCCTAAATAGTGTAAGTGTACACTTCGGTGGGGCGCTTCAATCTGACCTTTCCTAACCTAAGAAATGAAATCATCATCTCTTAATCCTAGATAAATCTTCCTAAATTTTTTTTTATATATGAATTAAAAATTCATTGTTACAACGTAAGACGGACAACTCCGATAAAACTAAAAGATTTTTCTTATTTTTAATGAAATTTAATTCTCTGAAAAAGTTTTCTATTGAACATTGTGTTTTCACTTTACAAAATATATGTATAGCTATTATTGTGTCCATTTTTATGAATACATAAATAGATTGTGTGGTAGATTAAATTACCTCTGTTTTCTACACACTACACTAATTAGATCGGGCAAACAAATCTGTTTCCAAAATAAATTTTGATTTGTATATTCTACAGTCTACATTTTGTTATATTTCTTTTTCCCCCATTTTATATTCTATTGTTTAATCAAACATTTTAGCCATTGTAATTTGAATATAGAAAACTTATAATGAAAGCGGGGAAAAATTGTATAAAATCTTAGATACTAAAATGTTGGTAATTACGGAAGCGTTAAATTTCATTCATACTAAAAAAAATAAAAGCAGAAAAATAAATAAAACAATGTAAAAAGTTTTTTCCATTATCTTGTTAGACCTTTTATATTAATATACCAATTAAAAGAAGAAATATAAGCTGTCACTTATTGGGATTAATCTTACAAAATTCGTACCTAATAAATTGTTAAAACGTTTATTAGATTTTAAAGTGTAATTGAATTTTCTTAAGAAAATTTCAATTTTATTTTTTTATTTACAAATTTGGGCCCTGGTCATTTCACCAGTGTTTCACAACTTCTGTGCCACTCAGAATCAATGTTTCACAACCTCTGCCACATTCCAATTATCATAAAATTTCAAATGACAACTGGTTGAATCTTTGAGCCAGGTTATGTTAATATTTCCAAAATAAAAGAAATGTAATGATATTCAAACAAATATGTTGATATTTTAAGGTAAAATTCCTATGATTGTCATGAACAACATTTTTTAATTCAAATTTATTAGTTTAACTTTGTGGTAAAATGAAAAACGGAAAATCATTTGTTTTCCATAATTATTTTTTAAAATGAATTTTGAAATTCTAAATTAAATAACTGGAAGTAATAATTTACATAAAAACGCATTTTTCCTTGCACTAAAAATCATAATAGAATTATTTTAAATGGCGTGAAAAGCAAAAAAACAAAAATAAAATTTGCTACAACATAAATAAAATTTCAATGAGCGTCGACTACAAATAAATTCAGTGTTGCCATGTCATAATTCAAATCCCCAAAATTTAAATCAAATTACACTTTTTTTATACACTATTAAAAGAAGGTATGTCTGTATGTATAGCAATTTCGACTATATAATTCAAGAATAGTGCCATATTTTACAAACGAATTGAAAATTCTTATGAAAAATTGAAATACTTTGCAATTTTCAAATAATCATTAAACCTTCAACATTAAAATAAAGCATAGACTGCAGAAAAATGAAGAAAAATGCCCCCCTTATTAAAATACAATAAAAAATAATATTAAAATACATATTTCACTTTCAAATTAATTGTAGCAATATTTTTAATTAAAATACAAAGTTCCGTCAACAATAAAGAATTATTTTTTTCATTAAATTTCCAAAATTAAATTTTTCTGTTTAATTTCTACAATTAAAATCTTTTAATTTCCTTAATTTAAACAATAATAAAAAAAATATGAAATATCATACTTCATAATTACAAATTAATAATTATTAATCTGTACTTGCTCTATATATATACTAACATAAATCTATACGTACATAAAATTCTGAATATTTATAAACGGAAATTGACCTGGAAATAATTTTTCAGTTTTCTAAAAATAAAAATACAAAATTTACGAGAAAAAACAAAAGTAAATAAAAAAATTCTTCGCGTCACGGTTTTTCTTCGCGTTTAACAAGATTTCATTTTCTTCAGATCGCGATCTTTTTTTCTTTTCTGAGTTTCTGACCTAAAATCTCATAAATCATCAACAAATTAATAATCATTATTAAATTTTTTAACATTTTTATTTTTTTTTTTTTGCTTATTTTGATGAAAACCTTAAAATTATATTCTAAAATTTTGGGTGGAAAACAGAATTCAAATTTTCTGTTAAATATCTGGGAATTCAAGAAAAATACCTTCATTAATTTGTAAATTTAAAAAGTATATATGTGTGTGTATATTTATAAAGACAAATAATAATACAAACATTTATATTAATAATTATTTTTTGCTATTAATTACAATTAGAAAAATTGCTGTTTTTGTTAATTTTCGCTGGGAAAAAACACTGGAAAGGCTTGTCCAAAATAGTAAAAATATTTTAATTTTTTATCTGTTATACTATAATATACAGCTATTATAAATTCAAATCTAATTTACAGAAAAAAAAGTAGCTTATTTCAAGGACACACACAATCATGAAAAATTTTAAAATCCCAAAAAATAAATAGAAAACAACATAAAAACCGTATTTTTATTACAATAGAACCAAGTATACAAAACGTCAAATGAATATAGGCAAATCAACAAATTAATTTTTCCATTTTTTCCAAAAAAACAAAAATTATAAAA